ACCTGTAAAATTCTACCTCCTACCACCTTCGCCACCCTCTCCTTGTTTAAAAGAAACATTAGAAGCACATATGAACACTTGCTCGGAACAATGTTCGATATAGAAATGCCATGTACATGGTCATTAGTGCGTGACTGTCCATGTCATAGAACTAAGTAAATAGCCTTATTCACATTAGAGGCGGACGGGTCGTCTGGGCGAACGGATCGTCTCCAGGGTCGTCTTCACAGACAGACAAGTAGTCGAACAATTCAGACGACTTGTTCGTCTAAAATTTTGTCCGACACGTTTTCACATCTGATGATTGTCCCACTAAAAGACGATTTTGGGACGGTTTGTTCGTCTGGACGACTTGTCCGTCTTCTGATGTGAAAACGGCTAATAACTGTGTTTCATGTTTGTGCTGTTTTGTATTGTATTTTGTATTATTAAGTGTCGTGATCTGTCTCGTATAAAATGGGACGAAGCAACCATTCTGGCGATTGATAGTCACAAGTTCTCTCACCTACAGGTGAATATAACAGGTGAATATAACAAAACTGAAATTTTGAAAATGGCAGATAGCCGTTTTGCGAAAGTTTACTGATAACGAAATAAGCGAAAATAAAATAAATTCAGTAACAAATAACACAAAAGACTTGTGTAAAAATACTAAAACAATCAGCTGATGTTATTGTTAAATATAGACAATAACATTATGTAATTTCTAACGAGCTATAAATAGTGGTGATATAGGATTCGAACTGTTTTATATGCCAAGTCATTCTCGTACCCAGAGCCCTTCTTACGCCCGGTGCGACGAGGGGCTCTGGCCAAATCCATATCCGAACTGGCATGTGATTGGCTAGTTCTATATGACGCGCGAAGGCGGACAAAATTACTTTTCCGAAATATATATCACGTCAATATCAAATATAAAACAACGATACAAATATAGTAGGAATTGCCGTATATATATATATATATATATATATATATATATATATATATATATATATATATATATATATATATATGTGTGTGCTAATTCTTTAATATAAAACATGTTCTTAAATATTATTATTATTATTATTATTAAGTCTTTATTAAACATAGCCACAACAGACGTGTGACTTTACATTTAAAATTCTCATATACAAGGTTCCAAAATAAACTTAATTATTATTATGTATCTAAGTTAATTATTCTTAGGTAGAATTCTTAAAAAGACTAAGACTAAGTTATTATTATGTATCTAAGTTAATCATTTTAGCTAAAATTATTAAAAAGACACCTATTTAAAAACGACCGTTTGAATCTTTCTGTTTTAACCTTAGGTAATATGAAATCGTGTTCGCGTTCTCTTAACGGTCTTTGTCTTTTAGGAGGAAGTAGTTCGTATAAAGGGTGGTCTGGGTTGCTACATATTTTTTCAAATAAACTCATGTCTCTTTCTTTAATCACATCAATTATCTGAACATGCACTTTTTGTTGTGTATCCATATCTGTATGCTCGCCTAAGAAATTTATCAATCCGTTCCAGGTACTTCTTTTCAAGTGCAGAACCCCATACTTCGATTCCATAAGAAAATAAAGACATAATAAGTGCGTCGAAGAGAATTGTTAATTTTTTTTTTTAGAGTAGCCATACGATCTGCATATTCTCAAGATGTGCATTCGACTACTAGCTTTAGATATCAAATTAAATATATATATATCATCGTTTTTAAATATAAACAATCGGTTGTCGATTATTTAACGTCTTCTCTCATATATATATAAACAGTATTGGAATATATAAATCACATCACATATATAAACAATGTTCCCATATATAAATCACCTCGCATGCCAAATATATAAGGGTGGTTACAAAGCGTTCGCTTTAACCGAATTATATGAAGTCCTGCTGAAACCAATAAACAACGTCTTTTCACTCGACGTTGAGTTTGAGTGGTCATGGCTGACAAGCATATGCGCATTTTGGCAAATTTAATAAAAGCAGTTACTATGCAATGTTGCGGATCGTGGCACATCACAGGAATCGAATAGCGAGGGAACTTAGTTCCGTTAGTGTTGAAGAAACAATAAAGCGGTTGTTTCCATCAACATGGGCTGTCAAGCTGTCAAGGTGCAAACTCCACAAAATATAATTGAGATGGATGGCTATGTGAAAAATATTTGTAATATTTTCGAATTAAATAAGATTTTCATTCCTTTCTTGTTCCACGCGCGCTCTTCTAGCACTGTATTTTTTTTGCGTTTGCGCCTTGACCACCCTCTGTTGATGGAAACAACCGCTTTATTGTTTCTTCAACACTAACCGAACTATTTCCCTCGCTATTCTATTCCTGTGATGTGCCACGATCAGCAACACTGGTAACTGCTTTCATCCAAATTTAGCCAAAATTTGCATATGCTTGTCAGCATGACCACTTAAACTCAACGTCGAGTGAAAAGACGCCTGCACTTTATACAAGACGTTGTTTATTGGTTTAAGCAGTACTTCATATAATCATAAGTAACCACCCTTTATATCTTTGGCATGCGAGGTGATTTATATATGGGAACATTGTTTATATATGTGATGTGATTTATATATTCCAATGATATATATATATATATATATATATATATATATATATATATATATATATATATATATATATATATATATATATATATATATATATATATATATAATAGTGTTATATATATATATATATATATATATATATATAATTCAGAATAGTGGTTATAAACACCAGTTAAAGTACAAGCACCCACTTAATCATACAACCCCTCGAACCCGAAATCGAAGACGTAATATCATTTGGTACAATCCACCATTTAGTAAAAATGTATCAACAAATATTGGACAAACATTTTTGAATATCATCGATGATGAATTCCCAATAGGCCACCCCTTACACAAAATATTCAACCGCAACACTGTTAAAATAAGCTACAGTTGCATGCCTAATATCAAACAAACCATCGACGGACACAACAAGACCAAACTGTCAAAAACCGCCACAACGAGTGAAGAAAGCACATGTAACTGTAGAAAGAAAGAGGAGTGCCCAATGTCCAAAAAGTGTTTGGTCGAATCTATTGTATATCAAGCTACAGTTTCTACCAACGACAATAGTCCACCTCAAACATACGTTGGTCTGACTGAAAACGCTTTTAAAACTAGATATTATAACCACAAAACCTCATTTACTTTGTACGAGAAAAGGAACTCCACTGAACTTAGCAAATATGTCTGGCAGTTAAAGTGCAAAGGAATTGAATTTCATATTAAATGGCAAACCTTGAAACGGGCCAAACCCTACAGCCCTGCTTCTAATAGATGTAATCTCTGCCTGTGGGAAAAATACTTTATTATATGTAAACCTGAACTAGCTACTTTGAACAAACGTAATGAATTAGTGTCTTCATGCAGACATGCGAAAAAAATTCTTTTAGCTAACATTTAAAGGGCATGCACTCGAGACAGACATATTTTTGTTTTAAATATACCGCGCAATCTTAATAGCTTGGCGTTATGCTGATGTGTTGTTAATACTTCCGCGTCCTGTCAATTTTATCAAGTAACAAAATAATTGCTTTGCGTGCTTTGTAAATAGGATTAATTTAAAGCTTTCATCCACTTGTACATAAATACTGTAGGTGTTTTGCTGTAGTCATAAGGCTAATTTATCTGATGAGTGCCACATCTTGTGGTACGAAACTAATAGTAATAAAGATGCCTAGTGGAATTTGTTGAGTCGTTGCACTTATTTAATTATGCTCTGGATATCCATTGAGCACTCTGCCAAATGTTTTTGTAAACAACGAAACCTAATTCTATATATATATATATATATATTAATATAAACGAGTATGTTTATGACATTCAGTATATATTTCATAATTTCCAGTCTTAAATCCGTCTGACCGTGCAGCTCAGTAGGCAGAGCGTCGATCTAGTAATTCGAAGGTCGCGGGTTCGAGACCCAGCCGCGGCAGACAAGATCTTTCTGCTTGCGCTGGGTATGGAATATATATATATATATATATATATATATATATATATATATATATATATATATATATATATATATATATATATATATATTTATATATATATATATATTTATATATATATATATATATTTAAGAACATGTTTTATATTAAAGAATTAGCACATATATATATATATATATATATATATATATATATATATATATATATATATATATATATATATATATATATATATACGGCAATTCCTACTATATTTGTATTGTTGTTTTATATTTGATATTGACGTCATATATATTTCGGAAAAGTAATTTTGTCCGCTGGGTACGAGAATGATGCCAAGTACGAACGTTTACTTACTATATATTTGAAAGTTTGAAAGATGATATAATACAGTCGGTAAGATCTTTCTTTATTACTTTATAAAGTGTAGCATAATTTATTTAGCAGTAATATATTTAATTTTGTATTTGTTTATATTTGTAGAAAACCTATTCAGTAGCGATTATTCTTGAATTGAGTTTGACTTTTTACTTTGCGAATAAATCACAGGCGAAGCGTGAAAGCGAGTTGGCTATACAGAATAGCCAAATCCACGGTTCTTCCGCTTATGCTCCCCAACAATATATAGGTTATGCCAAGGGCCTTTCAGGGGGGGGGGCAAAGGGGGCAATTTGCCCCAGGCCCCAGTTTAAGGGAGCCCCAAAATTTGCAAAATTATAAAAAAAAAATTGGTACAAACGATATAAAAGATGGTATGAGAAAAATTTCTAGACTTACATTTTACAGATATTTGTCCGAAAGAAAGGGTTTTACCCATGTTTTCGCAGGAATTTTTCGGAAAAAAATTTTTGAACCTTAATTTAATTTAACTGGTCTTTGTCCGGAAAATGTTTTTGACCCTTTTTTAATGTCCGGGAAAAAATTTTTAACCCCCTCGCTGCTCGCCAACATTTTTGGGAAAAATATGAGCCCCAAAGTAAAAATTTTCTCTGGGCTGCCGAATTTCTCTGATAGGCCCTGGTTATGCCTGTGGGTGGTTTTTCAAATTAAGGCTCGGATACACTTATATTTCACACTGACATTACAGTCAGTTGTTTTAGAAATTCATGGGGCATTTTAAAGCCATTTTAACACCATACTTTTCCCATTATCTATATCCATCCACAGGCTTCCCAAGCTCACATGTGATTGGGGTACTGTATTTTATATTAGCTTACTATGATACTCAAATATTGTATTAAATTGAGAATTAAGTTTGCTTACCACTACTACAATGTGTAATTAACTTTTCTGGGTTGATTTGGGCTTACGTGTGGTTGGGTATATTGTATTTTTATATTAGCTTACTATGACAGAGTATATATATTGTCAAAAAATGCTGAAATATTGTATTGAATTGAGAAATAAGGTTGCTTACCACTACTACACTGCGTAACTGACTTGGGGTAATTTTCAATCCGCCTCAGATACGTATCATTCTTACTACGGAGAACTAGAGAAGGCAAGTTGCTTCCGCTCCAATTATCCCGAATTAGTCGCATGGACTTCACAAATCGAGTCCAAGAACCATAGCCGATAAAGTTCCAAAAGAATCAAACCACACAAGAACAATCATCTCTTCCTTGGTCACCAGCCTGCGTAGCAGGCGGTTTGTTACCTTTTTACGGGCAAGGAAATATCGCCTGCCGCAAAACTAGGTGTATTTGAATTAACCCGTTCACTGGTGAACGGAAGAAACGGTTGGTCAGTATTTCAGGTAGTTGTCAATCAACGGTTAAATGTTAATCATTATTCATTAACCATGCAAATGGTTTGACGCTTTGCAATTAGATCACAGTCAGACCAGAAATGGAAAAGCATAATAAAAGATGTAAATTTAAAGATACAAGCTCAAAAATAACACTCTAAATAGTGTTTTTGATAGCGATTCGAACACGACTATTACGAGAAGATACGTCCGAAGGGGGCCGAAGTTATAATCGGCGAAAGGTATGGCTAGTCTTTATTGTCGTTCAAACAATTGCGTATTAAATCTCGCTTGACTTTCAAATGTCATGGCTTCCGGTAGAACTTTTATAGCTGATATTGGATATTGAATAAGTGTTTACCTAATGGGGGAAAAACGGGTAGTTTGAGTATGAAATTTCGTATTTTAACTATACGTTTCAAATTGTCTTTCTTTCAAATTTTACTTTGAAGACATCACAAAATTTATAACAATGGTCAAAAATGGCCGAATAATGGCGAACAAGACCATTTTCTTAAAAAGAATGCGGCGGGGATGAGAAACTAATATACAACAAATAGTGGCCTTATATCTGTCGTATATGTGTACTGCCACTAGTTGTAAACACTGAACCTGGTTACCGTGGATAAATATGTTTAAATAATAAAAAAATGATAATAATGGACTCAGTCCGCAATTTGTTAAACACGGACTCAACTCGCCATCTGTAAAACGTGGATTGATTCCGTGATTTGTAAAACGCAAACTGAGTCCGTGTTTTACAAATCACGGACTCAATCCATGTTTTACAAATCACGGACTCAGTCTGCGTTTTACAGGTCCAGTCCAGTACGTGTTTTGCAACATGCCTGTTATAGCATGCAAATTTACTGGGCTTTACGAATCTGTTGTCGTTTTGGCAAATCGATGCGTTATTTAGCGACGCGAGAACGATTTGTGAAGTCGATTGCGACTAATTCGGGATAATTGGAGCGGAAGTAACCTGCCTTCCCTATTTCTCCGTAGTAATTATAAGAATGATACGTATCTCAAGCGGATTAAAAATCACCACAAATCAACCCAGAAAAATCAATTACACATTGTAGTAGTGGTAAAAAACCTTATATTTCTCAATTTAATACAAGTTTTACCTTTTTTGACAATATATATTCTGTCATTTGCAAGTGATGAACCAGGCGGGAATCGTAATCGTAATATAAAGATTAATGCCCAGCATAACGTGCGCAAAAGAGCCATATAGACAAGAATATAGACATAAAATTTATTTAAGAAGTACTAACGTTTTGTTTTTAACTTTACTATATTCATTTACTCGGAAGATGTCTTAAGTTAAAGACGAAACGTTAGTAAGTACTTCTTAAATAAATTTTATGTCTAAATTCGTGTCTATATGGCTCTTTTGCGTACGTTATGCTGCATGGGCATTAATCTTTATATTCTGTCATAGTAAGCTAATATAAAAATACAAATATACACCAACCACACGTGAGCCCAAATCAACCCAGAAAAGTCAATTATACATTGTTGTAGTATATTACAATATTTTAGCATTTTTGAAAATATATTCTGTCATAGTAAGCTAATATAAAATACAGTACGCCAACCACTAGTGAGCTTGGGAAGCCTGTGATCCATCAAAACATAAACACATCATGGATCACTTTACCAAATGTGGTTAAACCTAGTTTTAAGCGAGATTAACAGCAGATGTGTCAAGCCGGCCTGCGACCTTTGTTGATCTACCAGTTAACGGAAACGACCGCACTTTACTACTTTTTTCAGTTTGTAATTGAAGGTGTATGTGGTAAAAATGCATTTGGAGACATTGCAATTGATGATATCTCTCTCATGGATTCATGTCCTCCAAGAGGTGAATCACTTTTGTTCTAATAGCTATATGTAAGCCGAAGTACAATCAATCTTTGACAAAATAGAGTGAGAAAGCTGGGTTTCTTCGTAGTTCTCCTTTGGTCGCACGTATAGGTTATAACATACTTTTACGATTTTAGAAAACTCAACTAGTAAACGAACTTCGGTTTCTACTACACCTACAATTTCACCATCTCAAATTCTATGTGGCTCTGAAGGCAAGTGAGGTTGTTGTCTAATTGCGTACTGATGCATTGTATATAGTAATGTATACAGTTTTTATGGTGTTCTTTAGTAGTGTACGGTGAAGTTATGTATAGTGTTTGTGGTGTGGCTTGTTTTGTGTAGTGAAAGATGGTGGATAGGGGGGGGTGGCTAATCAGCCTTGCTTATAGGAAGCATGACCGATGTGGGAGGTTCTGGCTGCCCAAGGTGGACAGGTTAGAATGAAAGGGTTAACTTTTTGAAAACCAGAGTACCTGGAGAAAATCCTCGAAGCACTGCAGAGAACTAATCATAACTCTACTTAAATCAGTTTTCAAATACATTAATTAAGTCAGATCAGGATTGCCGATAAAGCTGTAATACCTAGTCCTCAACATTCACCAACAGTCTTAAATAACTTACTTTTTTATACTATTTACTCACATCATCAATTTGGATTCAATTTACACTATGCAAATAAGTATTAAATCTTTTATTTTTATTCAGACAAGGGAACAATGAATGATTCCAGCAGAATCATTATCATAGTGATAACATTAGGTGTTGGCGTATTTCTTAGCATCGCGCTTAGTATCTTCTTTCTGATAAAATACAAACGACTGAAGCGGGCTCTACATTTATCATCTCCTGTCAATATTCCATTGGCGACGAATGAAATTTCACCAGAAGCATTCCCAGTTGATGAGGTAAATTATTTATGGTCATGGTGTTGGTGACACAGTGAATGGTTATTATATGTGGGCCTCTAGGAACAGTTTGAACTGATAGCGCTATCCAATTAATATGAATAAAGTTACTCTAGTTTAGATTTCTTTCTGTAGTAACATTGGATCAATAAGAGATGACTCAAACTGGACCTCTAGGAAGAACAGTTTGGAACTGATGAAGCTATCCAATTAATATAACTAATTAAAATACTCATTAATAATTCATAAACCTTGTGTCAAATCATGTCAGCCATAATATGTCACGTGGAGCGACTTTATATCTGGTAAAACACATATGGCATAAGTCTAGTCGTTCATCCTAATTAGTATTCTTATATAAAGAGTTTAGAACAGTTTAGAACTAATAGAGCTATCCAATTAACATAAATAAAATTACTTTAGTTTTGATTTCTTTTTGTTGTAACGTTGGGTCAATAACAGATAACTCTTATTGCACCTCCAGGAAGAACAGTTTCGAACTGATAGAGTTATCCAATATATATATAGTTTTAGTTTAGGTTTCCTACTGTAGTAACACTGGACGAATAATAGCTGGGTCTCACTGAACGGCTAGAACTGATAGAGCTATCTAGTATAAGTATAAAGTTACTTAGTTAGTTTGTACTTATAAATTAGCTGTGAAGCACGTGTTTCGCGAGCCTCTTACTCGGCTGGATTGGGCAACCGCAGCCTGTGTGTAATCGTCATTAAATAAGTCATTAAATAAGTCATATTTTTATAAAAAAAAACAGGAGGAAGTTTACGAATCTGTCGAGAATGTTGATCAGAACTTTTACGAAGACGTCGCCACAAATGCAAACGAGTCTGAAGACAAATCAGCTGAAGGTCAGTAATATCACAGATTAGATATTAATATCTAACCTGTGGTGATATGTTTAAAATTCTACTAACCTTGGCATGTGTAATATTTGCTCATTCTAAGAAGAAATGCAATATATCTTGGTTGCGGAAAAGAGACCAATCTCGATAATTGTTTTCACTGTAGAACGAGGATGAGCGTTGACAAGAGGTAATGAAGGTTGAAACTGTCGCTCGTGTTTTGCCGCCAAATCTCGTCGACTCTTGTGCACTCTCATCAACTCTTGTCAACTTTGAGGTGGTTCAAATTTTGAGTAGAGTTCTCGCTACGTGTTGTAATATCCAGTCGATTCTCATGCAAATGTTGTTCTCACCTCAGACTCTCATCAATTCTTATTCTCGTTTGACCAGGGTTTATAATTTTCTTTTTTTTTCTAAAGGCAGCACATTCGATTATGTTATACCAGCTCACGAGAGAAGAGAGACGAACGAAGACATAAAAATGGGAAGGAACTCACCAGACTACGAGAGGCTGGATCCAAGCAAACGGGAAGCACATCATTACCAAAAGTTGGTGAAAACTTGAACTTGTTGAAGGTCGCGCACATGGTGTGCATCACTGCAAGGGAAATGGCAATAAAAATGACATTTGTCTCATTTGAAACTTTTAAAACGATATAATTATGAAGACCTAGATTTTCCCAAAGTCCTTTCCGGTATTTTTTTCGCGGTTCGTATGTAGACCTATCTACGCTGGAAAGGATTTTTCTCACTTGCAGCGCGCCAAATCTACCGGTGGATTTTTTGACCGGGTGTGATTGGGGTGGGGGGGGGGGGGTCATTATCCTAGCCAATAAAAAACACATATTTAAATTATTTGAATTAATTATTCAAATGTCGTTACAGTAATTAGGCTTTCGACTTTTTTAATATAAATTAACATTTCATACGATATTAATACTAAATTATACCATACTAAATTATATTTGCCCGCTGTCGCCGATAGGGATGGAATCGGTAGCTAGTTAAGATGCGCCTGATTAAGCACGAAACATCACCAAGGATAATAATTCCTAGAAACCTAAGTCAACCAATGTTACCTCCTCCACCCCACGTATCCTACCCTACTAAGCGGAGCTATACCGGAACCGAACGTGGTTGTACCCGAACTCAATGACAACAATGGAAAAAACTACTTCCGAATGATGAACTCGCCGCTGATAATGAACCCGCCACGCAACTTCTGCGAGAAAGCGAAATCAAGCAAGCAAAAATGAACGATAATAAGGCGGGCGAAACGTCTAGTTGGGTGGGAATAGCACTAAGCGAATGAGGCCAAATCCACATTGTTTTACCTAACAAATTCATGACTGTATTGAATAATCTACATATTCGAATGACTCTAGCAATGTGACGTTAGCTAGCGCTTCTTAATTATCTGTTAACTTCCATTATTGTGCCAATAATAACATTAAACAACAAAACAAAGTAATTTCAGTCCCAGTTCAAAGTAGAGAATGTGGTTCTTCTCGTAGATAAAATAAAACATTGGCAACAGAGGCGAACTTTTGTTTAACTGAGCTAATTTTCTAAAGTAAAGGCGTAAAGCGGCATTTTTGTCCTTACAAGAACGGTAAACAACTGATTTGTTAGAATGTTAGTGTAGTTTCACTACAACGAACTTCTCCAATTGTTACTGTAATAGTTCAATGTTGTCGCAAACATTCGTCTTTTTATGTCCAGGAAAGTTCGCCGTCGCTTTATATCTACATCTTCCATGTCTTTGCCGCATTGTAGACACAGTGAAAGGAAAGTCTATTTACAAATTGAGCTGAATTAAATCGACAACTTTTCTGAAACTTACATGCGTAATAATTAACTGCAATAATTTTCGCGCCAGAATTTTTCATCATATCCAAATTCATGCAAGCGAAACAAATCGATCTCGCGGCTCTGCCGCTCACCGCTCGCTATTCGAGATCGACTTGTGGGCAAGTCTAATGAAGACCCTAACAATTCTTTTCTATCTTGCTTGGTTTCAGAGATATTTTGACCAGAAACAGTAGTCCGCCATCTTACGTTCATTTTGACCTAATTAATGCAGTTTTGGTGACATTCAAATTAATTAATTAACTTTCAGTTTTGGTGACTTTCAAATTAAATAATTAACTTTCAGTTTTGTTGATTTTCAAATTAATTAATTAACTTTTAGTTTTGGTGACTTTCAAATTAAATAATTAACTTTCAGTTTTGTTGATTTTCAAATTAATTAATTAACTTTTAGTTTTGGTGACTTTCAAATTAAATAATTAACTTTCAATTTTGGTGACTTTCAAATTAATGAATTAACTTTCAGTTTTGGTGACTTTCAAATTAATGCATTAACCTTCAGTTTTGGTGACTTTCAAATTAATGAATTAACTTTCAGTTTTGGTGACTTTCAAATTAATTAATCAACTTTCAGTTTTGGTGACTTTCAAATTAATTAATTAACTTTCAGTTTTGGCGACTTTCAAATTAATTAATTAACTTTCAGTTTTGTTGACTTTCAAATCAGTAATTAACTTTTAGTTTTGGTGGTTTTCAAATTAAATAATTAACTTTCAATTTTGGTGACTTTCAAATTAATGAATTAACTTTCGGTTTTGGTGACTTTCATATTACTTAATTAACTTTCAGTTTCGGTGACTTTCAAATTAATGACTTAACTTTCAGTTTTGGTGACTTTCAAATTAATTAATTAACTTTTAGTTTTGGTGACTTTTAAATTAATTAATTAACTTTCAGTTTTGGCGACTTTCAAATTAATTAATTAACTTTCAGTTTTGGTGACTTTCAAATTAATTAATTAACTTTCAATTTCGGTGACTTTCAAATTAATGACTTAACTTTCAGTTTTGGTGACTTTCAAATTAATTAATTAACTTTTAGTTTTGGTGACTTTTAAATTAATTAATTAACTTTCAGTTTTGGTGGCTTTCAAATTAATGACTTAACTTTCAGTTTTGTTGACTTTCAAATTAATTAATTAATTAACTTTTAGTTTTGGTGACTTTCAAATTAAATAATTAACTTTCAATTTTGGTGACTTTCAAATTAATGAATTAACTTTCAGTTTTGGTGACTTTCAAATTAATGAATTAACTTTCAGTTTTGGTGACTTTCAAATTAATTAATTAACTTTCCGTTTTGGTGACTTTCAAATTACTTAATCAGTAACTTCCAGTTTTGGTGACTTTCAAATTAATGACTTAACTTTCAGTTTTGGTGACTTTCAAATTAATTAATTAACTTTTAGTTTTGGTGACTTTTAAATTAATTAATTAACTTTCAGTTTTGGTGGCTTTCAAATTAATTAATCAACTTTCAGTTTTGGTGACAATAAATAATGAGCAGTCCCTAAACAGCAGTATTCTAGCGATTTATGGCCTTTGAAAATCAAGCGAAATTATATTGTTCAAAATTATCAAACTAATTAAAAATGCAGTCCATTTGATCCTTCATAACTTCGGTATTGTTGGTTTTCTCGTTTTCGGCCGTCTACCAGTATATTCGTCTCACTTTTCTCTTCATTTTGATAGTATTTTGAGCCCCCAAAATCTTATTTTGAAGGCTTTAAGACGCAGTTTTGATCAGATTTTTGGAGAATGTAGGCTATGTAGCGTGCTAAATATAACTTTACTTGTACATGTAGGCGGAAACGCCGGATGTTTTATTTGTAGGCGGGCACCGCATCTTAGTACTGTGTCTGGTTCATGTTATGTATCCCGCTGTTTTAATGAAATGCATGGATAGGGATAAAACGCTGAAACCGAATCGCGGAAACGGAAACTGAAAGCGAAAACTGAAAATAAAACGCTGAAATGGGGATAAAACGCTGAAATGGGGATAAAACGCTGAAATGGGGATAAATATCTAGATGATTTTTATTTCACGAGAATACTCTGACCAGCTAGAACGTGTAGAACACAACGTGGAATGATTTAAATGATACTCGACGTGCGGTATTTTCCAGGTCTTCCAGTAGTCAGTTTACTTTAAAATGTTGCAAAGTTGGTTATGTTGAATACTGTGAAGCCGGTTTTCCATTTCAATCGTATCGTAACGAGGCGTATTTCCTTGTTTCATTAGTGTGGAACTAAAGACTTCGACACAAAAGAAAATGCTACGATACGTTACGATTGAAGTGGAAAACCGGCTTAACTTTGTTACTTTTTAGTGGATATACGGGAAAATACCGCACGCGTATTCAAATTATTCTGCATGTCATATCCCTAGTCTATGCATATTTATAATTGCATGTTTTTGCTGCATGTATAAATGAACGTGTTTATTTTTTTGCATAATAAATTTTTAGAATTGAACCGGAAACAAACGCATAGAACGTCTACAGCGCTCGCTTCATATCTCCATGCATGTTTGGTTAGTCAAAGACCAAATATGCGCGAGGTATAGTAGTCAAATTTAATTCAAACGACTTTAAAAATAGTGCAGCAGATATTCTTCGAAAATTTGTGGTTGTCATTTTACCGGGAACTTCTTTCTTATATTTATTCAGTTTTATATGTGTTCGCAATGGTCTAGCAAACAACGAATTCGATTAAATTTGCCCATTTCAGCGTTTTATTCCCATTTTAGCGTTTTATCCTCATTTCAGAGTTTTATCCCCATTTCAGCGTTTTATCCCCATTTCAGAGTTTTATCCCCATTTCAGCGTTTTATCCCCATTTCAGTTTCCGCTTTCAGTTTCCGTTTCCGCGATTCAGTTTCAGCGTTTTATCCCTACCCGAAATGCATTTCCTAAGAAACGATGATGCATTTTCGAGAAATAGCCAAGGTTACATAACACTAGCCTGCGTAGCAGGCGTTCAGTACGAGCGGGAAAAGAGGAAACGCCTGCCCAAATAGCCCGCGTGCAGGCCCAAGGGAACTGATTAGTGGGCCTGCAAGCAAGGCCCAGTATTTTGTAAAACGCCCCTTTTCACAACACGCCCCATTCGCGCGTCAATTGTCAAAAACGAACCAATGACAGCACCCAAATATTAACAAACAAACTCGCATTAACATGTTGCGGGGTTTTCTCTGCTTATTCAGAACATAAACAATGTGTTCCTGCACGCGGGCTAACAATGTGTAAATGGCAGCGTTTTAACTCCAAAAAAGCAAGCAACGCAGTCAGTAATTGCCAAATTTGCAAGTGCTCATTTTCAACTAAAATCGGAACAGGCAAATTAGGACGAATTTCAACAGAAAACCAGTCTCAAACTTCAAATCGTGAGGGAAGTCGTGCGACTACTGTACATTAGCGTTTATAATGTGTGCTTCGCTGTCGCCATTGTTATAAATAAATTGTCTCATCAGATCGTGTGTGCAATTCTTGTTGGCGGCGGAAAGTACGAAATTTATTTCAGTTATTTCATTTGGTAAAGAACTCTACAAAAGAAGAGAGCGTTCAGAGTCCACATCGTTTCAAACTGCAATTTAATACCGTCTTCTGTTTCGCTCTCTCAGCGAAGCCTTGTAAATCGCAAAGTGTTTCGAATAGGCTTACATGCAACTGCCTCTAAATCTTCACCACGTTTTCTTCAGTGCAAGAAAAGAGTCAACATCAACCAAATGATAATTTTCTCGAGGAACATATAACGTATCAAGTCTGTTTGAAATTAATGAAACTCAAGTAAAGGTTACTATAGTTTACCCCAGTCGTAAATCGTAATGTTGCTATTCCAACACCTCGCGACAAGCAATCTCCATTGGCATAACGCCAAAAACATCTCTTCCTTCAAGTAAACAATAAACAGTCTGTTCTTGTTCCATTTATAATCGAAAAAAGCGACCAATTTTCGAATCTTAAGCTTATCGAGAATCACTGATCTAATTATAGAATCCAACAGCAAACAGCCAATCAGAATGCCGCGTTCGTGGGCGAACGCGGAAAGTACAAAATACCAGGCCTTGCTTGCAGGCCCATGCACTATCAGTTCCCTTGGGCCTGCACGCGGGCTACTGCCCAAATGGCTATGACAAATTTGTTTTCGCCCATTAAGGATGATTGACGTTTTGTAATTAGCATCTTCACCCATTATCCAATCATAGTCGAGATTTATATTTAGCATCATGCATGCTTTTTGCTCGGCAATTAGGGAGATTTGCAGAGATTTTATGTACTACTTAAAACATGAGCAGCAGTGTTTTATCAAATATAAAGATGATCTGACAAAACACGCACTGCAAATGTTTTAAATTGCTTCAAAAACGATCGTTCTAGTATAAGTTAATTGGCGAAATAGCTTTAAAAAATTCGTTGTGTATGTAGAGAAAATCAAAGTTAAAGTTTATGTAAATCAAGGGAAATCTCTATCACATAGGCTATAAAGATACACGTTTATGATTTTTCTTTGTGGGTTTTTCTCATAAATTATTAATGATTTTTGAGGCTATTTTAGACAACAGTCACAACACAGAGCTTTTATCTTTTAAAAGGCTCCTGAACCACGGTTGTTTAACGTATTCTGTCGTACAGCAAATTAAC